AGGTTGAAGCCTTATACAAATCATTCAAAGAACATCAGAAACGGATGGGAGTTGCGCCAGAGTTAGGACCAGAGCATGAAAGGATTTCAGTGAGTGAAGATACATCTTGATGGACAAAAATTCATTACTCAATCATATTTTAGGAACAACAAGCCAGTGAGTTGTGTGCTTTTATCGGAATTGGTGCTCCGTCTGATCAGGAAAGGCAGCAGCTTGATTTCTCCAATGGCAAGGTCCGTGTAACCTCCGGACTAATGTTGTGCCTTCGTCATCGTTTCCATTATAGGATTACTGTGCCGCCAAAACCCTCTACATTAGCGACTCCGACAAGAGGAAATACTTTGAGTTGTCTATCCAGTTCTTCTATGGATGTGGTGTTGAAATTGGGCTTTTTCTATCTCAGAGAATAAAAGTATGCTGCCTTATTCCGCGCGAGGTTTGGGGAGAGACAGTTTTGAAACTATGACGATTTCAGGTCATCAGTAAACCGTCAAAGAAGAAGCAGAGCATGAAGAACACCGATTGTAAATACCTATGCATCGCATCGGGAACTAAGGTATTTGATCCATTGTAGGCGGTTATTCGCCAGTTTTCCAAGAAGAAGAATTATACAGTTTCTTTTTAGGTAGCGCTCTTCAATAGGCTTCGTTCGCAGACAGTGAGTACTCGCTACCTCCATGTGGATAATGGCGCATTCCATGCGAGCTCCACGAAATGGGGAGCCTTTACAATACACTTGTGTATGTACCTATGTCTCCTCTAGCCGTTTTTAAAAAAATCCAGCGTTTTTATTCCAGTCGATGACGAGCCTACAGCTCCTGAATCGGAGAACTTCACTGTCAAAGATGGTTTTGTTTACTATGGATCGGTTGTGAAGCTGGTCGATAGTGTGACTGGTATAGCACTGCCTCGTCTCAGGATACGAAAGGTTTGTTCTTTAGGTAAACCTACTGATCCTAAAATGAATTTTAAGGTTGATAAACAGCATGTGATCTTGGATGCGACGACAAATGAAGAGCCAGTGTCACAATTGCACAAATGCGCGTTCCAAATGATCGACAATGAGACTGTTTACCTTTGTCTCAGCCACGATAAAATCATCCAACATCAAGTGAGCTGATTGGGTTTTTTCGCCCCACTTTCTCGAAGCAATGCGAGTTCCTGAAGCAGCGCCGCAAGAGCCCATCGATTTCCGGCAGCTCTAGCTACCGTAATCCATGGTTCTCGTGTTTACGCTCTCTCGATACATTATCCGCGACCCAGTCGGCTGGCCACTTTCTCACATGTCTCAATTATTTGCTGATTTCACCCCTTCTGGATTCTTGATGTGCTGATTGAACTGCTATAGTCAAAGTTTTATGTTTCAGGCTACTCCCATCGATGCAACACATCATCA